CGATGTAGCCACAGCCGCCCTGGGGCGCACTGACAGAGGCGAGGCTGCCGAGCACTGGCGCCACCGGTCCCTCCGACCACCACCAGCAGGCAACGTGGGTCAAGTGTCTTGCCCAAGGGCACAACGACAGCGACAGACTGAGCGGGGCTCGAACCTGCAACCTTCCGATTACGGGCGAGCACTTAACTCCTGTGCCACCGTCGCCCCAGGAAAGACAGGAAAAAAGAGGAGGACTAATAAAAAGTGAAAATAGCTCGTTTCAGAAGAGGGGAGAGTTTCACAAATCCAGTTAAAGGCAAGATTGTTGAAAATTTAGTGTAAGGGGCCCCATGTCTGTGTTCGCCTTGGGCCCCCAAATTGCTAAATCCGCCACTGCCCATAACTGGAAGGTTGCAGGTTTGAGCCTCGCTGTCATTGTGTCCTTGGGCAAGACACTTAACCCCCCTTGCCCGCTGGTGGTGGTCGGAGGGACCGGTGGCGCCAGTGCTCGGCAGCCTCGCCTCCGTCAGCGTGCCCCAAGGCAGCTGTGGCTACATCGTGGCTCATCCCCACCAGTGTGTGAATGGGTGAATGACTGATTGTGTTGTAAAGCACCTTGGGGGGTTCCAGGACTCTAGAAGACGCCATATCAAAGACAGGCTTCTACTTGCTGTGATAACAGTGCTCTGTAAATGAGAGCAAAGCTATGATTTAAAAAAGAGCAATTGCACGAACTCTGAAGATATTTCTTACGTGTGGTGAAAAGCTATGCAACTCACTTTGGTGTCGGCTCCACTCCAACTAGACATTAGCAGAATTAGTAAGTGAAACACATAAAATCACCTTGATTTCATTTTTGAACAGATTATATTGAGACATGTTTGATTTCCGATAGTGAGAGTATTCATACCAGCTTAGATTACGTCAGCACACAGACATGATGTCAAAACATGATAACTAATCTGATTAGAGATCAGAATATGATCAAATGTGTGATGATGTCCACCAAACTCATCAATCTCCGTTTCTCCAAACTGAGGCTATTCATAGCGCTATCTGCAACAGGGAAGATACTATCTATCCACAACTTTTCAACAGAAACCCAGCTAAAACCATGTGAGAGCTTAAGTTCAGAAAACTATCTGTGAGGTTTTTGATTCACCTTTTATTCTCCAGATTTGCAAAAATCATCAGCTAAGTTTCAGCAGAGCAGATGATTTTTTCTGCTCAGTTAAGCACACAATAAACAGATTTTAAAAGGATACTTACCAAATTTCCATATTTTAAATTCATTTTCTTCAGCCAGTATGTGCTAAAATGAGCCTTTACCGGGTTGATGAAAAGTCACTCAGAACCCACCACCCTCTGTGGCCAGAACACTGCATTTGCAACTTCAGAGTGCCCGTCCGGTCTGTTGGGACGTGAGCTGACATACCTGGAAATGCCGTCTGGTTCCAGCGCGTTTCCTGTATGTTTTAGATCATGAACACAGCTACTAGTTTCATTTAGTGATGAACTGCTTCTTTGGAAACTGATGGAGGCTGGCAGACATTTCAGGGGTTAGATTAAGCAGGGGTGTCCAATCTTGATCCTGGAGTGCCGGTAACCAGCAGGTTTTGTGTTTTTTCTGCTTCAACATGCTTGATTAGCTGGTTGAATCACCTGTGCAGCAGCTCATCAGGCTCTGCAGAAGCCTGTTAATCACCTGCTGATTGAAATCAGGTGTGTTGAAGCAGGTTAAAACGAAAATGTGCTGGATACCGGCCCTCGAGGACACCCCTGGATTAAGGTGTTAAAACATTTTACTAAACGGACACTAGGGGGTGCTAAAACAAGCCAAAACTGCCCATCCTTCCTGGTGACGGCAGATGGCAGTCCATAAAAAACGGATGGTATTTTATTATAACTGTACTTCATTTTTCTCAATTACCTTTTCTCCATTTTTGAACCAAAACATATAAATTTTATGTAGATTTGTGTGCTTTATGTAGTGTTTTTATCACAACAAATGTGTACACCAAAAACTAGAATCAACGGTTATCAGCCAATCTACAGTTTCACAAAACTGGTTTACAACTCACTGATTTGGTTTTTGAATGCATCACTGCCAAGTAGCAGTACAAATGTATGAACTCACCCTATAGCTAAGTGCTAAATGCTGCCAGCAATTATAATGAAAGAATGAAAAATGTCAAGTCTACCGTCACACATTGATGAAATAACATCTCTGTATTTGACCCATTCTCGTGGGGAGGGGTGAGCTGCAGCTGTGGCTGCGCTCAGGAACTGTTTGGTGGTTTTATGAATTAATCCATCAGTTTAATAAATAAATTCACCAGCCAACAAACCAATCAAACTTTGTTCAAGACAAAAATAATTGTCCGTATTATATGACACTAAAGATAAAATAGGGGATAGAATAAAAGCAATGACAACGAATAACACACATTCCCGTACAGGCAGCCGTTCCAGCGTTTCAAACGGCCGGAGGAACACTTTGTGTCTCTACATGTTGCCGTTAACAGGGCTTCGCCCACAATGTTAGCCAGCATTCGAACGACACAAGAATTTATACATACAGTTCCTCAGTGGTGCATGAATGGTAGGGACGTTACTCCTGACAAACGTTTGGGTTGCAGAAGTCCGTCATGGGAGCCTCAGGAGGATTTTACATACATCCTGATTCAGCCACTTGTAGTTTCATTACAGCCCGACTATAATTGCATCTCAGTGGGTCGTATAGAAGGGAGTACAAAATGAAAATGACCACTTTTATGTCGTTTGAGCACGTGTCAAAGTTACAAGTGTTAGTCTGCATGTGCAGCTTGCATCACCGTCTCCTTACATCCTCATCATCACAGAGTTCACGTCTTGCAATGAGCCCGAAATATTTTACTTTTCACATCAAATCCAAAACTTGGTTCATTAATAAGAAGATGGACGGCTCACCTTCTGGTTGCAGCAACCATGACATCACTCTTTTAGGGTTAAACATCAAGTGCAACAAAGAACCTGAGCAGCTGCTGCGTACCAGCACTGCAGGGACACAAGAGGACTAGATCATCTGCATACATTCGCCCAGCAAGCACCTAGTTTCACAGCTGTCCTTAGATGTTATGAGTTTAAGTTTTTACAAGCAGAGTCATATTTTTCTACTTATTCAGAAATGTAAAAGTTTTCTGTTTGCTGTAGTGACACAAACTGATGGTTTTTTAAAACATTAGTAGATCTGAGCAGTAAAAAATCAATAACTGACATCGACACCGAATACCCGAAGTGTTACTTGTGTGGTAAATGCCAAGTTCTGGATGTAGTTGGATAGTTCTCATGGTTCATCTGACACCTACATATTATAGCTTGTTGTGGGTCAGAACAATGAAGGAAAGTTAGAAGAAGGAGAGCAAACTTCTAATGAATGGGAAAAGAAATACAATGTCTATGATACCAGCTTAAAATAGCTGCGTACTTGCTTATGTGCAACATGTCAGAGACACTGTACCTGGCCTCTCTCCCTAACACAGTTCCTTCCAGTTTTGACTAAAATAAAACTAAGCTGGTTTTATGGACATGTGGTAGTGGGAAGGCCACTGATGGTGTCAGAGCTCAGTCCGTGAAAGGTGATTAACCACAGCAAAGGGCAGGTCTGCTGAAGCTGGAATGTCTTGAGCTGCTGGTTGAGTGCTGTCCATTAGGTCAAAGGATTAGTTGAGGTTAACGGAGTTGAACAAAGCAGGATCCACAGCCCAGCCAATACTGCAGCTCGGAGCCTCTCGGGAGTTATGCTCTAAGGCCACATCAGGGTTCACAAGTCACTTCATGGTCAGGATGCTTCGCTTTATGACCGTCAGCATACACTAATAAGTGCCATGATTAACACCTTTAATTGTTTTTACAGTGAGTAGTTTTAGATGTGATACACTCCCATCGCACCATGACCTTTCAGCCTGCTCGTAACGTTTGTCTAACTCTAGTGAGCTTGGTGTGTTCTCAATGCAAAGTCCATCCATGACTCATAGCTGATTTGTTCTTATGCTGCAGGCCTTGATGGGGCCTTGACTTGGTCTTGAGTGGTGTAATAGATAACTTGAAGAAAGAACTAGCGGATAGGACCATCGCTCTAGATCTAAGCGATACAACACATCTTCTGGTTGAACTGAGGATGAGCTGTTGCCCAACACGACACATCTGGATTCAAAAGTGCTGAGCTGAAACAAACTATAATTTCTATTACAGTAAATCCACAGGGTGCCAGACCAAAGGAAGAAGAGCAAATCACATAATGAAGAGTTTTCTCAGCTTCAGTTAGCTACTCTTCCAAGCCCCAGTGTCGGCTGGGGGAGGAGGTGACCACAAGCAGTAGGCGTGGGAGGGGATAAATGTCAGCATGCGACACGCCAAACTCTGCTTGAAAGCTGAGAAAGCACTGAGGCCCGGGATCACCCTCCATACGTCAGCAGCAGGAAAGACCTTAAACACTCTGCTTAAGTGTCCGTGGCCGGAGCTCCTCAGATATTCCTGGAGCTGCGTGAGTCAAACCAACCGGCTCAGACATCGGGAGGAGGGGCACTTCAACTGTTCATGTAACAGCGAAGTGTTGAGCTTGTTAAAGGTTGCATTGGTAGTGTGTGTGTGTGTGTGTGTGTGTGTGTGTGTGTGTGTGTGTGTGTGTGTGTGTGTGTGTGTGTGTGTGTGTGTGTGTGTGTGTGTGTGTGTTTCAAAATGTCCTGCTAAAATGAGCGGAGGCAGTGAACAGAGCAGGGGCGCATCTCTGACATGTTGATTAATGGCTTAATCAGGAGTAGCGTGTCAGTGTCTAGATGGTTATCTCCTGCAACACCTGAGGGACAAAAGCTGCCAAACACACTAAGCTGCATCTGTCACCACGTCCTCTGCACTGCATGAAGCTGAAGTCGTGACAAACCTACTCACTGAATCGCCTCATGCTGCAGCAGCACTCATGGAAATCATTTTACTGCATTCTGACTAACAGTTTGTGAACATTTGCAGGTGCATTTACTTACAGCTTCCAAATTTAAGAGGACAAGCGTGAGCGTCCATGGGGAAATCCTCCAGCTGCATGGGGCATTCTGCTGAGATAGTCAGTCTGAAAGCACAATGTGTAGAAAATCCATCAGCAGCGTGGGACCGTGGCAGTACGTGGGTATTAACACAATATTAAAATATATATATTTATCTTAAATCAAAATAGACTAAATTAAATATAAATACTTGAATAAAAATAATTTAAAAAATAGATCTGATGATTTCTAAACAAACATGCAGCTTACATGTACAACCAACCTTTGAGCCCCATGATGGTAACACATCTGAGTCATTAGTTTTTATTTTTTAAAACGATGTAAGTTGTTATTTTGGACTTCATTCTAAATATTTCCCTGAATTTTTATATAATTATGTTGGGTTTAGATGTAACATAATAAATTAGATTAGAAACAAAATAATTAGTTGTATATTTCTGGCGAAATAAGTTTTTTAAGCATCACTTTAAAACCAGTGCCCCAACCTTATGACATAGTCTACTTTTACAAGTTTTCATTGTTTTGTGTTACAGTAGAATTAAATCTTGTAAACAGCCATTAGGAAGCAGCTATTACAGTCTGTCATCATTAGTGTGTCTCAGATGAACGAGAGCAGAGTAAAACGTTCTCCGCCAACAACAACATGGAGCTGCACCATCAGAGGGGACGTGACGATACCTCGGATGAAAGATGGACACAAAAACGAGCTTCAGTTGATGAAGAAATGATGTCGTCTCTCTGTTGAATCATAATAAATAATAAATACAACAAATGAGTTCATGACCACCTAACGGTTAGAGAAGCACCCTGCCTTGTGTCATACTGCCCTCTGCTGGACACACAGGAATTCTCCAGCACGTGTTTGTGTTTTTAACTCACTAGCAGAGGTGCATTAACATCATGTAGATTCAACACAGGTTGGAAAACTGTTTATTTTGAATAAGAGAAACATTTTTGGAATGAATCAACTAAAGGAACCCTCTTGATCTAAAAATAAACAGTGATCAGACGGACTATTAAAGCCAGTCTGTCATGAGCGAATGAGGGTCGGTCCCGTCCCAAAATGATGCGAAAACATCTAAAGTATGACTAATTGCCATTCAATAGATTTAAACTGCACAATTTGGTTCAATGTTAAGTTTGTAAGGAATTTATCTTGACCGCATGCAGAAGGGTTTGCACATTTTAACAGACCCAAATGCCCTTTGCAAGAAATATATGTGTATACCAATAAGAAAGAAAAGTGTGTAAAATGTTCTACAATGAAAACATAAGTTAGACCGGACACAAATGTAGACGTTCTGGGAGAAGGTATGCCAGTGAGGGTTTGATGAGCCAACAGCTGCCGAACAGGTGCTGATTGACCGGAGTCTGCAGTTAGCGAGGAACAGCTCATAAAGTTTAGAGTTTAATTTAGATTTACGTGTTTGGATGTGTTGGTTGTTTCAGTGAGAAGTAAAATTCTAAAATACATATTTGATTCCAGTATTTTTAAAAGGCAGAATTTGCTACATGACTGTTTTTAATAGCTTTGCACGGAAAGTGTTAGTTTTTCTAAATGTTTCTCAGGTAAAATAAATAAGCTGCTTCGATCTGCATTCATCACAAACACGGACAGCAGCGTGAACAGGAAACTCTTTTTATTCTGTTTCCAGCAGCTCAAAGGTCCCAGCGCCTGTGACTGTGTGTGTTAGCAAAGCAGCTCACGAACCACTGGATGGATTTTAATAAAAGGTTTAGAAATAAATAAATAAATGATGACCAGGTAGGTTAGTGCTGCCAAGCAGAGACTTTATCTGTTTCAGTAAAAGATTAATACTGTTGTGAAACCCTCGGGTGTGTTTCAGAATCAAACATTAGGATACGACATGCTGCTCACTGCCTGAATGAAAACCCCACATCTGAACAAACGTTCACGGTTCAGTGGCTGAGTGACATGCAGACTCCAGTCCTCGTCCTCTGAGCCAGCACAGGAGACGAGAGGGATGAATGCATGAAATGTTTCTCTAATAACCTCATTCCTAGAACACAAACGCATTAAAGGGCTGTTGTGAACTCATTCCTTCTTGTTTGGAGCAAATGCAGAGCCGATCAGCAGCATCTTAAAGGCAGCAGATCAATAACCACGTTTGACACGTACTTGTACTTCCTTTATGAATATTTGATTCAGGATTTATTGCTCTGATAAGATGATGAGCCAGCACTGAAATGAGAGAGGATTTAAATGGGTTCTCTCCCCATTGAACAAACCCCAACACATCAGGCATCCAATCCACTCCTGGCACTACAACATGTTGGTAAAAACGAGCTCTTGGGACAGTGAAGACACTCAACATCTAACAGAATTAGGATATTGCTGCAGTACTTGATGCAACAAAGAAAGATAAAGGAAAGTATCAGTAAATATAAGAAGTAAGAGTATAATCATGATGAAATAAGATTATAAAGGGGCAATAATTAGAGAAATGGCTGCTATAGTCATAGTATAGTCTAGTGCAAGTCAGTGTAAGTATTGATCAGAGCGATCAGTTCAGGTGCAAACACAACACTAGGGACGTGTGACTGGAACCAAGTAGCTGGAGGGGGCAGTCCTGGGATTGTCGTTCATGAGTGCGAACACGGAGGGGAAGAAACTGTCCTTGTGGTGAGAGGTTCTGGTCCAAATGGATCTGAGCCTCCTGCCAGATGGGAGCGAGTCAAAAAGACTGTGTCCAGGGTGACACGGGTCAGCTGTGATCCGACCTGCACCCCCTCAGTGTCCTGGAGGTGCGCAGGTCCTGTACGGAGCTAGCAGAGCAGTACTACATGCTGCAGCCTCTCCTTGAGCCTGCTGGTGGCTCCAGCATAACACACAACGACTGAGGAGGTGCGGATGGACTCGGTGATTGTGCTGGCAGGTTACATTCCTTCAGCTCACATGTGTATGTAGGCTTTTAAAAGATGGCAGCACATGACATCTAGACTGAGAACACATTCATGAAAGAGAAGTGAGAGAAATAGATGGTGCTGTTCTCTTCCACCAGTCAGAGTTAATGACAGAATGTGAGGACGACATGGAGTTTGGGCCAAAGCAAATATTTGGAGATCCTCTGACCTTCATTTTACTGAACGAGGACAAACACGATGACGCACCAGTGCACTGCTGAGACCTGCACAGTGACTGTGTGGGATGTGTCGGTGCAGCGGGGGTCTCAAAAACCATTCAACGCAAAGAGGAGGCAGGTGGAGGTTTTAGTCATCACTCCATCGCTAACTGGATTACACAACACGCACCACTGAGCTCTCATGAGTCAGTGTTTTGAAAAGTGAGACTGATTGGAATAGAAATGTTTATCCAACTGCAGCAAACGGAGTGCTCACCTCATGGTGTACAGCAGGGTGCCGTCATCCTTCAGGCGCAGCAGCTTGTTGGGCGTGGTCATGTTGTGAGCGATGGACTTCTTTCCATTGAGGAAGAAGGTGTCAGGTGTCCAGATGTTGCTCGCCAGCAGGTTATTCAGGGGCAGCATCTCCATCGGGCCTTTGAAGCAAAGCCTCTCATCTTTCCAGCTTTGGCGGAAGAAGACATCTATGGTGTACTCCTACAGGAAAACAAAGCGCCCCGTTTGAACAAAACGACATATGTTAGTGGACCTAAAAGGATAATTCAACTGGTGGTCTTTGAGTAAAAGTATAATTCACTATTTGACGTGCTGAAGGAAGCTTCCTGAATAGCCTCGGTTCGGAGAAAGTTGAAAGAAGAACCAAGACCAAAGTGGGTCGTTTCTGTTTTCATAAATCTACATTTCAGCTGTTTATGGGACAATGTTATCAACCTTGACACCATTGTCCCACGGATACACCAGAAATACAATCTTTTACAGATACTGGTGATGTTTACACTTTTAAATAATCATCAAATGTGAGGTGGTCGGGATGAGAGTCAGCTCCTGTAAGTCTCAAGTGGAGGAGTTCAAGTAGAGTAGACAGAGATGGACCAACAGACAGGTCCGCCCTACACCCTGACTTCTCTTATGACTTTTGGGTCATAAGAGAAGAAGAACATCTCTGATCCAAGCTGAAACCAGTTTCCTCTGTGAAGTAGTCGGGCCTGGCCTCACGGTTAGTGTCGTCATCCATGGGGAGATCAGAGAAGAGCCTCCTGTTGATCTCATGTCAGCTGATGTGGTTCAGGTGTCAGATTAGAACGATTCCTGGGTCTCTCCTTCTGGAGGTTCTACAGGTACGCCCCTCTGGGAGGAGACCCCAGGAAACACCCAGAGCTCACTGGAGGGATTACCCTAATCGAACAACGATGGTTAGGTTAGGGTTAGGAAACAAGGAGGAATGGAAAACAAAGTAATACACCCTAAATGGTTGTGTAAAGGGTTAGGACACATGAACTGAAACATTGAAGGTTAGAGACTCTGACACCAGAAATTTGTGTTGGTTTTGCCTTCCATACCACTCCAGTTTATTTCTCAAGCACATTTAAAAACAGCATGTGAGCTGACCAAAGCGCCTCACAGGTGATGCAGTAAATATGCACGGCTAGCAAGTCAGCACAGAGCATAATGCATCAAATAAAACAAGAGATGTCCAATCAGCCGACTGAGACAGTCAGTGACACCAGATTAGGTAACACAGATGGGTTCAGATTAGCGGTTAGCTCATCAGTCCTCATGATGGAAACTCAGTTTCTCCAAACGGTGGCCTTTCAGGAAGCTTCTTATTAAAGGTGAAAAGGTAGTTCTCTTATGCCCAGTCCTAAAACTCGCACTGCACCCTGCGGTCTTCAGCAAAGTGCACTTGGAGAAAGTTAGGTTTTGGGTGCGTGGTGCACACGTGTGCAAATAATTGCCTAATTGAAGCAATTGAGCATTGCATCATCAATCGCAACGCACTGAGGGATGATCCTTAAAAATGTATTAACAACATAAAAAATAACAAAGTATTGTTTTAAATTATTTTACATTTGTTTGCTGCTTTATCTAAAAGGGTTTAGAGCATCAACTAATTGTCCTAAAATTAACTACATTCATTAGAAAATACATATGATCAGAAAAGGCACTTGAGCCTGTTCTGCTGCAGCAATGGATTGTGGGTAATACACTTCCCCCAAGTCCGCATCAATGCAGACTTGGGGGAAGTGAAGATCAAGGGCGCAAAAGGGGCGTGGTCGACTTCTGCACTAGAGAATCAGGATACTGGGATTACACACAGAAAATATTCTTCTAAATGGCCAAAATATCCCTTTGGGTCTACTCTCTTTGTGCGTGAAGATCAATTATTTTATTTGGTTGTTTCAAAATAAATCAATACACTTTCATTTGAGATAAAAATCATCTAAAATAAACACTTTAGTGTAAAAGTATTTTTAAATAATGCTTATGAGTAAGAGTAAGTTAAAGGTGTAACCTACCATTTCAGTGTCAGAAACTGGACCAAAGCTGGTGACAAAGATGTTGGTTTTGATCTCCGTCACCTTCTCTGTGAAGAACAAGAACATCGGGTTAGATTTCTAAATCGGTTTGTTTGAGTGCACGACTTCATTCTCACAGCGCAGTTTCTGACACAGCCTTCTCTTTTAACGCACCGGCTCAGTTTTTACAGTGAGTGAGGTCTCAAGCATGAAATAAAAACACTTTTTATTTGAAAAAGGTTTAAAAGTCCCAAGAAGAGGATGACACACCATGAAGTTGCCCATGAAGAGATGTGATGAAAACACAACCTACTGTGAGCTCAGAATAATGTCTTGTGATGGGTTTTTATTTAACAAATAAATTAATAATGACACAAACACTCAGATGAAAGCTGTTGCACCATCAAGTCCACATTTTATAGACTGAAAAGATCAGACTTCAGTGACACCTAGTGGCCATGTGAAAAATAACAAGCAAATAGAAATAAAAATTAGGATTGATTTTAGGAATTACAGGCTTTTCTTAGCAAAAACTGGTGTCGTATGCACAATTATGAACACTTAGGCATCTTTCAGTCCAGTGGATGGTATTTATTTAGGACTCATCCTTTTAGTATTCAACAGTCTGAGACCTGATATCGATTAAACGATCCAAGATGTTTTAACAAGTTAAATCTTATTCAGACTTATTAGAGGTCTGATTAAAGGATTTAATGTGTCACACTGCGGGGATGGTTAGGACCCAGAATGCAGATTACCCAGACGACAAGCGGCAGGAGTCGATATAAAGTAAAAATCCTTTTATTGCAGGATGAACAAAAGTAATTCCAAAAGGCAGCGAGCCTAAAATCCAAAAGTCCTGAGATCCAGGACACCGAAAACTCACATGGAGCACAAAAACCTGGGACAAGACACAAAGCTCACATGGAGCACCAAAAACAACGCTGACAAACAACAATGGACCGACAAGACACTGAGACAAGACAGGGCTCATATACACTGGGACTGGAGTGATGGGAGACGAGGAGCAGGTGTGTGGGGAACTGGCACAGGTGAAACCAATAATTAGAGAAAGAGCAGAGAAACACACCAGACCTGACTGGGGAAGGACTCACACACACACACACACACACACACACACACCGAGCTGGGGAAGAAACTAACATGACCTAAGAGTAAAATCTAAAAACAAGAAAGGAAACCACATAACTAATATTCTAAAGGGAAGGAAAACTATAAACACTGCAGAGGGGTGACTGGAGAAGACTAAAGGAACACAGGACCTGAGAGATATACCTGGAGGGCTGAAGACCAGGGGAGACATGAGGAACACAAGGAGACACAGACCATGACATAATGTTGCCGACACATTTCTTAGAGCAGAGAATAAATCCAGAGCAGAATGAGTGAGTTTAATGGCTGAAAGCTTGTCCTTTCACCACCTAAAGCTCTGTGTACCGGTTGTGCTCAGAACTGTGAAGGTTACTGGATCTACCTCCGAGTCCGGGGCGGAGCCTGTTGTCATAGCCATCCAGCAGTCCATCTAAGATGCGGGTGAAGATGGTGATGTTGTCATTTAATTCGGCCTCTTTGGGGGTTCCGCTCACATCCTGGGAGAGGCTGGACGGGATCATAGACAGGTAGATGGACAGATGTGGGTTGGAGTTAGTTGGTATTTCCACTTATGAAACTGATGCAGTGTAGAGCAGGACATTGTTTTACACTGAACACTGACTAGTGCATCATACATACAGTAATACATTGTTGTTAAACTGTCCTAAACATTTTATCTCACCTGTTTTTAACTTTGTTTTATGTTTGACTTTTGTTTCCACATCATTTTTATTACTGTCTGTTCCTGTTGTGAAGCTCTTTGGTCAGCAACAGCTGTTTTAAATGTGCTATATAAGTAAAACTGACATTGACACCAAATGTACCAGTCATGTTTTTGTGGGAGGAATATGGGATACCTGGGAAGAACCCATACACGCACAGAGAGAACATGCAAGCTTCATGCAGAGGGACCTGATTCAAGGCAAGAGGTCTAGAACTGTGCCGCTGTGCAGCACCTCCACTGTCACATTGGTTCCTGAATTTAAATACCGGTGTATGTTTTAGGTGCTTTCTGAGCAGCAGCTCTTAGAAAGAAATAGTGCACACATTTTAAACAAGAAGGTTCCAAAACCCTCAGAACTCAGAATATAACCTAAATATTGGGGATCAAAATAAACTTCTAATTAATAGATTGAGAAAATGTCATGATGTGAAGTTGTTAGGACCCAAACGCATGAAAGGAAGCACAGGGTGCAGGTTAAAAAAAATTCACTGATTAATTTGAATAATGGCAACCAGCCATTCCTCCCCATCCCCACACATTTTTCTCCTCCTGCTCCCTCACATCATCACACAAACATGCACATAGGACCTTGGGGGGTAGACAAGTCAGGGGGTGCGGGTTTGGACCCCTTTTCCACATTCCTGTGGCAACCTGCCCCCCAATTTGATCTGCACCTTAAACACTTCCACCAACGACATTTCACGCAAACACACACTTAGGGCCTTGGGAGTGAGCACATCCAACAGCATTTGGCAGGGGGTTTTTTCAGCCTCATCCCGGGTGCCGGTGCCCACTTCCAATTTTAAACTGCATTTAGACACAGAGGGCTGTGGGTGCAAGTGGGGTGGTGTGGTGGCATCAGCTGGCGTAGGCCAGACGATGCCCGCACTGCCCGCTCACCACAGCCATGGAATACACCTCATCAACACACACTAACACAGGCGGAGGAGGACTAGGGGTCTTAGCCACCTCTGTTGTTGCTTGGCTTCCCGGGGCTGGAGGCTAGGAGGGAGATGTGGGCGTCCGGTTGGGGTCTGGGGTGGTGGGTTGCTGGGCTCAGCGTTGAGCTGGGGAGCCTGCTCATCAGCACCCCAGCAGAAAGGGTCAAACTCTGGTAATCGGTGATGGTTGTACCCCATGTGCAGCAGTACCGGGACCAGAGTGAATAGGGTGTGTATGGGGAACATGAGTGGGTGTCCGGCGTGCATTTTTGTAAGTCTTTGGTTGTATGTGCATGTGTGAGCATGAGGGAGGGAGTGTGTGACTGTGTTTGTGTATGACTGTATATGTCAGGTGGGGCCTTTTACTCCTCCCCTCTCCTGGAACTTCTTTTGATGCTACACATCTTCGTCTCCCCTCTCCCTGCCACACCGGTGCCTTGGTCTGCCTGAGTGTTCGCGGCTCCCCGGTCAGGGGGTTTGAGATTTTTGGCGTCTGCCTGATCAATCCCGGTGGCTGCCTGGTGGGATTTGGGTCACTGCGCTCTGCTGGGTCCCCAGCGGGGGTGGTCGCCCTGGATCCCAGGTTGCTGTGTCCAGGGCTCGGCCGGCTAGGGGGTGGGAGGCTGCGGGCGGGCCTGTAGGCTTGCCGCTGATATCTCCCGGGACTCTGCCGGCTGCTGGTTGTGGCCCCCCGAAGCGATCCTCTGTGCCTCTCGAGCGGGGCAGGGGCTTTTCTGGTCCCAGTCTCCCTGGGGTCCCTGTGCTCTGGGGCAGCTCCTGGATCTCTGGGACTTGGAGCTCCTTCCATCTCCTACGCATATTTGGGGGGCAGATCTGTGGCCCCTCACACTCTCGATTGGACGCTCCTATAGAGAAACCTTACATAAACAAGCACGTGTACACACACAGGTGCTCACATGGTGCTCTCATCAGAAGGGGCTTGGGCACGTTAAACACATGTCTTAAGGCTGTGGTTGGCACTTAATGCACTGTGATTTATTATCGTGTGATTGTTCAGTTAAACAAAGTTGATTTTATATTTCCTCATTAAGTTGACGCAGTGATAGCTTGCTCCTGATGTATTGTTGTGTGTCCCTTTTCTGCAGGTCTAGAAGCAGACTCTTGTGGACACCCCCCCCCCCCCCCCCCATTTCAAAAAACAACAACAATAAAGTTTTAAGTATCAGGCATGACATTAAAAGCAGAAGCTTTGATGCTCCACCTGAGAGTAAATCCGTAAAGTTTGTTACCAGCATTCAGACATCAATTCTGTTTGCTTCACAGCCAGACAGGACACGGAATAAAAAATAATAATGATGGCAGGTAGAATGACATGACGGGGAGACAAGATGAGAATCTGACACAGACCAGAAACAGAGGGTTTAGAAGGGTAATCAGAGAAATAGGTGGGTAAGGGGCAAGTGAGATCAATCAACGCTAACAACGAAGACAAGACACCAGAGACACGGGAGGCTACAGCCCAAGGACAGCTGCCGACACCAAAAACAAGAAAAAGGGGCGGTGAAAGAAACCTGCATGCTGGAGCTCCTCAGACAGGGGCAAGAATTCTCCAGGTGGCATGGTTGGAATCACTGAAGATGGCTGGGGGCCGTTTAAAACAGTCTCTGGACTGGACGGCAGATCAGGGGTTGCTAAGATAGGCGGCACAGTTCATGACTCTGGAGCAGGTGATGCAGCTGGAACCTCCAGCCTGGACTGCAAAGCAGAGGCCTCTAGGTCAGGCGACACTGCTTTGGTCTCTGGAGCAGGTGATGCTGCAGCTCCAGGCAGGGTCTGGGTGAGCGGCATGTCTGACCACCCGGGAAGACTAGGGATGCATCAGAACGTGCCAGCTCTTGTTTCTCCGAACTCACCAGAAAAACAAATAGAAAAAAATCCGACCAGCTCACCACTTTGTGGCCAGATCCTTCTGTCATGACGTGGAGTTGTTGCCAGAACCCAAAATGCATGAGAGCAGGCGCAGGTTGCAGATAACAAAAATGACTGATTTCTTTGAATAATGTCAGGTAGGATGGCGTGACGTGAAGACAAGACGAGGATCTGACAGACCAGCACAAACAGGGTTTAAATGCATGAGAGTAATCAGGGAAACAGGTGGGTAGGGTACACGAGACTACAGGAGCAGATCCTGACACAAGGTCTCACCTTAAGTTGAAGGTGATGCTCACAAGTAGGATGTAGATCCACAGACGACTCATGGCAAAGCAGTGATACATTCCATCTCCCATTCCTGAAAACACACACACACACAGGCTGAAAACTGAAAAAATGCCTTTTTTACCAGCGTTCATCACCGTCTGCTTCATGGCTGGTGACATCAGCACAGCTGGAACTGTAACTGTTAAATACAAATGTGTTTTCATGAGAAGTCACCATAAAAAGTATGTTTCATGCATTTGCAGTCTTTACACAACAGTGTGTCCTCATGTGGCACAGATCTCCACTCCGGATAAGTACGCATTTTGATTTATATTTGTATTTTTTGAACATGTGTAAGTTGGCTGAAAGGAAGCAGGGGAAACTCTTCTCAGATCAGTGTGTTCTGAACCCCTTTCTGCAGTCTAAAGGCCTCATCTCACAGCAAGATGCTCTTTTAGTTACCCCCCTTCTGCAAACGCCGAACATGTGAAATACTTCTCTACTGCTCTATTACATCATCTAGGATTCTCAATAAGCTCAAAAGAATTTTGCATCCAGCTGGACCCCCCTCTGAGAGCATCTTCTGCTGCATTCTCCTCACCCACTTAACCACACTCATCCACACAGAGCAGACTGCAAAAACACACACACAAGGACGAGGGGAAGAGTGAATACCGCCTCCCTCTGCTCTCATCAGCAAGTCTAACCACTGCAGGTCCTTTCTGTCAGCAGCTCCTGCTCTCCTGAAGCCTGCTTCTCCTCAAGTCTCTACATCTCACTCTGTTCTAGCTTGTAATAATAACAAGAATAAAGGAAAAAAGGATGCTGCGACACAAAGCTCACCACACAAAACGATGCGCAGTCAAACTTCTCCAGATTCTTCCTCACACGCAGATCACGCACCAATTCCTAGTAGAAAATCAGACTCATTTCACTGCCAGAGAGCTCCTTATCTCATTCAGAGCTGTTAAAATGTTGGCCACAGAAAAATAGCAGCTTCCAAACACTTCTGCTGACTGACCATCCTTTAGTCGGTCTCCGAGGAGCGCACAAATCCAATACTGTGTCCAAGTACGAGGCGAGATGCGGACTCCGGTGCGCACTGAGCAGGCGAGCAGAAAATCAGGAGGATGTGAGGAGAGAGGGAGAGAGAGTGGAGGAGGGAGGGGTGAGGCTGAGGGGAGAGAAGGAGGGGTGATGGAAGAGAGGAAAGAAATATAGCCAAAAGGTCATTTTCATAATTATTCAAAGCTGCTTGAGCGCTTTCATTTGAGAATTATTATAACATTAATCATTAAGTGTTATTCATTTTTAGGCATTAACACAAAAAATCTTTAAATTCCTACACTCAAAGATTTGCCTCTTCAGAGTTTGTGTTATGTCTACCCATAAAAAATCATGAAAATCACACTACACTCAATAGAAATTACCGTAAACATTTTAGTCCTTTCTATAAAAACAAAAGATGTTGTAATGACGCATGAATAAAATAACTATGAGAACGTATCAAGGCTCTAATAATTGCATTGCTTATGGTTACATGAGTTGTATAGACATCCAGAGTCTTTTATCCCACATAAAACAGTAAAATATTCAAGTGTGTAGAGATAGACGTGTTTTACTCGTGAGCTCTCTTCCAACAGGGATTGCTGCCAGTAGAAAAGGAGCGCTATAACAGTGGCTAGTTACCATGTAGTACGTTTCGCAGTCGTTTTGTGACGCTTTCACGTCTGGTGGAATGAAGGGTAAGGAGTTGTTGGAGATCATTATAGCATCATATGGCTGAAAGTTTAAATTGGTTTTATAGCCACTTCAATTAGATTTAGATTTTCAAATCAACTAATCAATAAAAAATGTCCTAGAGTGGGTCCCTGAGGAACACCTTCTCACACAGAAGCTGCATCTCAGATTTAACATTTTGAAAGTGAAAGTTATGATCCTTTGATGTGGGGATTCAGTTTTTCAGGTTTTGAATAAGTGACGTCTTACCTAATAACCACAGAATGTTTTTCCATAAACTTTTATGAAATTGTTGAGATTTTATTTATTTTTAAAGAGGGTAAGAAAACTTTGTAATGGGCCAAGTCAGAATAGCCATTAGCTTGGCTTTCTGATCAGAACTGATCTGTGTTTCTCCAAACTGACGTTGTTCAAAGAGCTGTGTACTTTTAAACATCGGTCTTAAAACATTTCTGAAATATAAAAAATCAATTATTTATCATTGAGCAGAACATCAGAATTATATGAGTTCAAGTAAGTTTACTTTGTGGAAATACAATCACACATCCTTTATAACTCCCTCTTTATTGTAGCGCTGACGCAAGGGTGACACGTTTAAAGAGTCCTGATTTTGTTGTCACTAATCCAGATTACAGAAGGTGATAAAAACATGCATGCACAGAGCTCTTTGTTTTTACTTCATCACCTCATTTCTTACAAAGATTAAAGTCAAGTCACTTCCAGCTGAGTCAGTAATGAAGATGGATTTCTCTCAAAACTTTGCTACTTCATCTGTGATCGGTGTAAACTAAAACTAAAAGTGCCTCTGAAACAAGTCTCAGACAGTCAAAGTCAGCACTGTGTCAACAGAAATTAATGCTTGTTCTTCTGTTTTTTACAGGAACGCTGTCGATGGGAATAAAAAGCTTTATGCCGTGTATGATACAAGGTAAGAAATACTCCCTGCTGAAGGGTTAGGGTTATAGCCTAATCATGATGCTGTTATCTAGCTTTCACTTTGGTGGGACTGTGGGTCATGAAGGGTAATGAACTTGGGGTGTTTAGAATAGACCAATCAGATAGCGGGAAGTGTTGTGTTCAACCTATGACCACACTGCAGATAGATGGAGACAAAGACACAAAAAGCAGGTTCATGTGGGAGGAAGACACTGGTCAGGAGGTTTTTATCTAGGGCTCCACACTTTGATCCTTGTAAAAAGACACTTTTACTGAAAATGTCTGGGGAAATTAAATTTAAAGTCCCACTAGTCGTCGTGTGTGTGTGTGTGTGACAACTAATTCTCCAAATTTGAGCCATCCGCTGGGGAAGTGGTGAGCTGCAGACACGGCCGCGCTCGGGAACAGTCTGGTGGTTTAAACCCCCGATCCAACCCCTTAATGCTGAGGGTCAAGCAGGGAGGCATTGAGTCTTAGGTATGACCCAGCTGGGATTTAACCGCGATCTCCCAGTCCCAGGTTTAAAAGGTGTTTTCAAACTTCCTGCCAATGAGTTCAAAAGGAGCAATCACATAACTTTCAATATGAGAGTTTTAAAGCAAAAAGAAACTGCCTCAAATGTTGGTTAAATAAGTTGTATAAATTGTGACTCTTTAAGCTGTATCAAAAGTTCAAATACAGCTGGTTAAATTAAGGTTAACTTATCAAACCTTTAAAAAATTCTTATCCGATGTTTACTCAAATCTGGTTTTAGAAAAACCTATGATTGTATTAAAACAGATGGACAAGCCTTCAGTCCCGGTTTAGCGAGCTTCGAATCCTTCCGAGAAGGAGCATTGAACGTGGAGAAAACCAAAACAAATAATTTGGCCATGTGGGAGATTCTGCGGCGATATCATATATGGTTGATTCTGCCAATCAGAGGCTTCCCCTGACGGTAGGCATGTATTTGAGCCGACCAATCAGTCATATGGGCTTGTTGGCGCGGACCAGCCCAGAGCGGACCACCAGAGGATAAGAGCCGAAAAACCATCCGGTAGCATGGGGGAAAAATAATAATAATAATAATAATAATAATAATAATAATAATAATAATAATAATAGTCCCTTTAAGCTTTGTTATGTTGTTGTGTGAACGCAAACACTTACTGTAATAAAGATGCAGGAGTGGTGATTTTTCTTAGGAAACTATGGGCATATTACTTTACTGTGAAAGGGTTTGAGCAGCTTTGAGTAACAAATCAACTATAATTTCCATCTGTTGATGCAGAGGTAAAAATGGTGTTTCTTTTTAGTAGTTGTTTGAACTTGATCTCATCTAGAAACATTTGAATCTCATTCATGACTGGATGGACCCCCCTGCTTCAGTCCTTCAGCACGCCTCTGCATCTCGTGTAAGGTTTCAGTAAACAGCTTAGATTTTATATTTCGGACCGGCAGCCGCCTCGGAGGATGGCAGCGGTGCTCAGACAGCGCGAGGCTTTAACGGCCGTCTCACCGCACGAGACCGACCGTCACATCAAAGTTACCGCGCCTCTGTCTGAGCAGCACGCGCGCAGGCTGGAGTCGGGCGGAACAAGTCTCGCTTAGTTTTGGACAGAAGGAGGGATGTTAGATGCTCTCACTCTGCCGCTGGTCGTGGCTGTGATGTGCTGCGCCCAGAGGTGAGTGATGGGCTCAGACCGGACACCGGGACCGGCTCCCCGCTCCGGAAACACTGAGTTGTGCTTTCTTTTTCAGCGTCAACGAACCGGGCAACATGTCTTTTGTCAAAGAGACTGTGGATAAACTACTGAAGGGATATGATATCCGCCTCCGGCCGGACTTTGGTGGTATGACACAGCTCCATTATTATTATTATTATTATTATTATTATTATTATTATTATTATTATTAATAAACCTTTAACTGAATCGTTTATTCTAAGGTGCACCGGTTGCTGTTGGCATGACTTTAGACGTGGCGAGTATAGACATGGTGTCAGAAGTTAACATGGTAAGTTCAACACTAATTGTTGCTGTTGTGATGCTATTTTTGAGTTGTCTACATTAATACAAACTTAATTTCGGAGTTGCAACATTTTTTACTTGTAAAAGCTGTTTTCTTCGTCCCATGTTTATTAGCATGTCCATTCTGAATGTTAAAGAAGAGTTTAAATGGAAACCATCCATGAAAACTGATCAAACTAATAAGACTTTATGTTTTTGTAATCAGATAGATCAAACATTTATCCATAACGCTGCTGTTGCAAAATGCAAAAGGACTATATGTCCTTGTGCCATAATACAATTAATCCAAACTTGTTTTCGTGTCCGTTTTCTGAAATGACTAATAATGGAACTTTGCAGACTTTTGTGAACCACTTCTGGTTGTTGTGACTCATAAAGCTTTAAAGCTGATTATTTATGATCAAGCCTTGACAAAGTACATTTGCTGCAGTCTTGCAAATCAATATCTGCTTGGCTTATAAATAATCTAAAAATTGTGTTTCTAAGTAGTTTTTGTGTTAGTCTGCTTACACCTTCATTTCAAAATAAATTGACTAACTATTCTAATAAAATAGATATGGGGAAATGTTTGGCAGTGAGTGTGAATTGCTGTTGGCACGCTGTGAGCTTTGCACAGTTTAATGTTTTTATGCCATCTATCAGTGGTGGGAACTGCTGACAGAGCTTGATGCCCAGTCACATGGTCGAAGAGGAAATAACCCCTGACATCCGTCCTGACAAGTATATGTGATGAAATGTTCCCGTGGTGCCTTTTAATGCATCTCTGCTCAGCAGCAGAGTGGGATGGAAGAAAAGCATATGGGTGCTGAGAGCTGGTTTCCAGTGACAACAGAAATTCTTCCTATCTTTTCATTAGATTATGTTAAATCTGCACATTCACTTTAGAGGAATAGAGTAGGTCTTCCCTGATTGAAAGGCTAATGAGTAGTGTGGGTGGGGCCAAGACTTAAGTGGACTGCTGACATTGTAAAATAGTCCTAATCTCTAAAAGATATAACGGAATTGATGCTAACACTTTTTTACAATCTGAACTCAGTTTCACAGTTTTGCAAAGTTTAGCAAATTTCCCTGAATCAAACCCTTGAAGCAGGTCCTGGAGAGCATGTTTTAGTTTTAACCCTGCTTCAACACATCTGATTTCAATCGGCAGGTGATTAACAGGCTTCTGCAGAGCCTGATGAGCTGCTGCACAGGTGATTCAACCACTGAATCAAGTGTGTTGGAGCAGAGAAACCACTAAAACATGCTGGATACCAGCCCTCCAGGACGACCCCAGCCTTAAAGGCATATTCCAGTTAAAAGTTAATTGCTATTTAACTTGTTCTGAATTGAGTCCTGCAGCATTATGACTTTACAGATGAGCTAACAGCTAGCTAACATTGTGTATTGCTACTATCTTCAAACAGCTTTAATAACCTAACTTTGTGGTTTATAAGAATAAATATTAGCTAGTAGATTAACAGTGAAGATTGGATGAGGAACTGCTTATCCTTATTTAAATCTAAGAAAAAACATTTCTTTCAATAAATAAAGAAAATAAAAAAAGCTTCCCCTTTGATGCCCATCTTTAATTAATTAATTAATTTGTTAGGCAATTTATTATTTTTATAATAATAATAATAATAATAATAGTAATAATTGGAAGTCACCTGGAGAAGACAAAGTACATAACTTCTGGCTTAAACACCTCAAGGTCATACATGAATATCTTGCAAGAGAATACACAAAAATCATTAAAACACCAATAAAGAGCCCAACCTGGCTAACACAGGGTCTAACATATCTGCTACCCAAGACCAATGACACAAAAAATCCTAAGAACTACAGACCAATCACATGCTTACCAACGATGTACAAGATCCTCACAAGTATCATCACAGAGAGAACAAACACCTTCCTCGACAACAACAACATGCTACCACTAGAAGAAAAAGGCTGTAAGAGAGGAAGTTATGGAAGCAAAGACCAACCCCTGATCAACAAGATGATACTGGAAGACAGCAAGGGGAAGAAGCAAAACCTGAGTACAGCATGGATAGACTACAGGAAAGCCTTCGACAGCGTACCACACTCATGGATCATCAAAGTAATGGAACTTCATAGAATCTCACCAACTCTCATTACCTTCATGAAGACAAGTATGGACCACTATGATGCTCACTTATGAGGAAGAATCCATCAAGACGAGACCAATAAAAGTGAGGTGTGGTATCTTTAAAGGAGACTCACTATCACCTCTCCTCTTCTGTCTATGTCTAGCCCCACTCAGCACCATGCTAAACAACGGTGAACATGGCTATGAGGTTCAAGGTAAGAAGATCAACCACCTTTTTTACATGGATGATCTGAAGACCTATGCCAAAAACGATAACCAACAAGAGGGACTACTGCAAATAATCAAGCTCTTCAGTGATGACATCTGCATGCAATTTGGACTTGACAAATGTGCAAAGGCTACATTCAAAAAAGGAAAACTCACATCAACATCAAACATACAATTGGACCAAGAGACTGTCATAATGGAGCTCAATCAAGAGGATACATGCAAATATCTTGGGGTCAATGAAGGAGATGGAATACAACATGCTACCGTGAAAGAAAAAGTCAAAAAAAAAAAAAAAAACAGAAGAGTCAGGCTTGTCATCAAGAGTGAACTTAATGCTGCAAATAAGATCAAAACCATCAACATTTTAGCTGTTCCAATGGTTACATACAGTTTTAACATCATCAACTGGCAACTTAAAGAAGTAAAGAAACTAGACACCAAGACCAGAAAATTGCTGACTTCTGAAAGAATGCACCACCCAAAAGCGGATGTTGAAAGAATGTATCTACCAAGACAGATTGGAGGCAGAGGACTTACCCAACTTGAGAAGGCTTACAAAACAACAACAAGGGCATCGAAAACCTACCTTGAAACAACAGACGATGCCCTACTGATCCTCGTTTGTCAACATGAAGCTCGCAAGAAGCTGTACTCTGTTACAAAAGAAGCTATAAGATATGCACAGGAACTAAACATCCCAGATGTGGCAAGAAAAGAGAAAGAAACAGTAACAAGCTTTGCTAAGAGGACCAGAAGGGAGGCAAAGAAATGGGCCCAAAAGAGGATGAGAGAAACATGGGTGGAAAAACAATGCATGGATAATACCCCTTGAGAGTAAAAAAAGCAGACGTAGAACAAGATCATACTCATCAGTAGCTACGCAGTGCAGGACTGAAGACAGAAACTGAAGGATTGTTGATAGCAGCACAAGACCAGAGCCTGTCAATGAGATCATACCACCACAAGATCATGAAAGATGGAACAGACCCCATGTGTAGAATGTGCCGCCAATATGAAGAAACCATTGACCACATTCTCTCAGGCTGCCCCACTCTAGCCAGAACTGAGTACATCCACAGAGACGACAGGGCAGCAAGCCATGTCCACTGGAAGATCTGCAAGCATTTCCATCTACCAGATGCAGATAAGTGGTATGACCACCAACCACCAACAGCGACTGAAAACAACAACATCACAGTGTTGTGGGACATGCCGATCAACACAGACAGAAATCATGGCCAACAGACCAGACATAGTCATCAAAAACAAAGAAGAGAAGACCATCCCATCGGAAAAAAATGTCACCACCAAGGAGCTTGAAAAGCTATCAAAGTACAAGGACCTGGAAATAAAAGTCACGAGAATGTGGGGGATGAAGACAACAGCAATTCCCGTCGTAGTGGGCGCACTTGGCCTCATCGAGAAGGGACTGGAAAAGAGAAAACAGATTCCTGGAAACCCAACAGTCCAAGAAATCCAGAAGATTGTTCTTCCCGGAAGTGCCCACATCATCAGAAGGACGCTTTCCATAAACCAACCCTGAAACTGCCTTAGAAGCATGGATTGGTTCTGGCACTTCAGTGAAAGCGTACAAATACACAAAAATATAATAATAATAATAATAATAATAATAATAATTGTTATTATAATAAATCCAAACTATATGTTTGTCAACATACTATATTAATTTATTGCTGTTTGAATTCAGTTAGGACTAGGCAGAAACTAAAATGTTTGGACTTTGAACTCAGATTCAAGACTCAAGACTTGCCAGAAATGAAGACTTTGTTCTAAATTGACTTTAAATTAAGAAAATTGTAAAGTACTGAAATTTGTTAAACTTTTAGTACTCAATGGTACTGCGTAAGTAGGACTTTTGATATTACGTATTATGATTAAATTATCTTTAACTATTGACATTTTCCAAGATGTAAACAAATTAAACCCTTTACATCATAAATTCACCAGTTGGTTTTATATTGTGAAAAATTATATGTACGCAGGACAAAAGGGATGCACCTGTCTAATTATGCATGCCTCAGCTATTGGAGATGTTGCACTTAAATAGACATGAACATTATAGTTTTGAAAATCTGAAATCTGACAACAACAACAGCCCTTAATAGGACAGTAGTGCAGTACATCAAGATCCAAGCTGCTTTTACTGCTTTTACGCTGTCTGCCTGACTGTCCCATGTGAACGCATTTATTAGACTGTCTGTTAATATCTTCAGGCATGCAGATGGGAACACAGGAAGTAAGTCTTCTGCTGAAGCCCGAAGAACTGGACACATCTAGGAAATAAGCCCTCCCAATTGCACTTGTGCATGTGTTAAAATGATCTGCTTGTGACAGAGATGATGTTCCACAAGGCTTCATAGAAACAGACACATGGCTGATCTGTCAGCCTGCTAAAAATAGGCACACTGTGGTGATGGGGTGTATGTTATAAATCCCACAGCAACATGGGATCGCTGATGGACCGCTCCATCTCTGTGGGAGCCTTACATCCTAGTTTCAATCTTTCAAGAGCTAAACTACTTCATGTCAGCTTGCAGACTCGATCTATCTGTAAACATGAACAATATGGTTTGGTGCTTTTCCCCTGAAGCTGCAGACTAACCTTTCTCCTGAGTGGATTAATGTGTGTGGCTCTACATTGTTACTAGAGATGCACTAAACTGTTTGGAAGATTTATAAGAAATTTACGATTCTGAAACGACTCTGACTCTGGAAGTATAAAAAAAATCCACACGGAAGATCTGTTCTTGCTAGTGTGAAGTGGTGTTCGCAGTGTGGAAAATGTTGGATATTTTTGTATGGTTGATTGTAAAAGGTGCTGTTATAAACCAGAAA